CTAATCATGATCAGCTCATATACAGCAAATCTAGCCGCCTTCCTCACTATGGGCAAAATGGAGACGCCTATTAAAGGTGTTGAAGATCTAGCTAAGCAAACTAAAATCAAATACGGAGCACTTGACGGTGGCTCGACATCAACATTTTTCAAAGTATATATTAATAGCTTATTTACCAACACACATTTTGCTCAACATAAAAATAATTGTTACAAATTTGTGTCAATATTGTTTAACCGTAGCATTCGAATTATTCGACCTATAAACGAATGTGGGCTGCAATGTCGGAGGCGAGGCCGAGCGTTTTTACTTCAAGTAATGACGAAGGTGGGCAATTTCAAAGTCGAACACGCATACGTGAAAAATCTTCTTTCTTCGAAAAGGGTTACATTATTAACTCTCATTATTAACTCTCTATCGCAATACATTTCAGGTGTCGAACGAGTTATCAAGGGTAAACGACAATATGCCTTTCTCATGGAATCCACCACCATCGAATACAAAATGGAACGCATGTGCGAAATTGATAAGATTGGCGGTCTAATCGACAACAAAGGCTACGGAATCGCTATGCCGCGCAGTAATATTGTAATCCGTACATCTAATATTTCTCCATTTCTTTATTATAAGTCGTTTCTGTTATATCTTCGCAGATTCCCAATACCGAACGCTGATTAACAATGCGATATTGAAGCTAGGAGAGAAAGGTACGTTGGGTATACTGAAAAAGAGATGGTGGCAAGAAAATGGAGGAGGCTTATGTAAAAAAGATGAAACGGAAACAAGCAGTAGTACCACCGAATTAGGACTGGAAAGCGTCGGAGGTGTATTCGTCGTTCTAATGTGCGGTTGCGCCACTTCGTTTCTTATTGCTATTTGCGAATTTTTATGGAATATACGCAAAGTCGCTGTAAGAGAGAAGGTAAGCCTTTCACTTTATTTCGTTCAAATTTATATTTGCAACAAACGCTATAATAAAATTAATTAATTTTGTTTCTTTTGACACTTTGATTGCCGAGCTGATTTTAGCGTCGAGTTCTGATAGGTCTAAAGTCGAAAGAAAAATATAAATAAATAAATAAAAATATATTTTACGTATTAATATATGTGTATTATATGTTAGTATATATGTAACTGTAGATATATTACTATATATCTAATAAATAATATAATTTCAGATGGAATAAATAAAACTGTTATTCATAAATCAAAATAATAGATCTTTATGATTAAAGCAGATATAAGCATGAAAATAGAAAAATAATTATATTTTTCATAAATTTAGTACATTTAATACTTCATTAGTTTTTTAATGTCTTAATAAAAATATTTGGTAAAATTATTTTTAAATAAAATCATTCATAAATGTGTGACAAAGGGCTCTTGTTAAAAGTCATATGTCACTCATAATCAGACATAATAGTGACGTGGCAAACAAAATGTTAGCAAAGAAAATCATTCCAAGTCTTAATGTAATATTTACTTTTCTCTTTTTACCGTAAATTAAATTGTGAAACAAAATTTAATTTGCACAGTACGCGAATTTTTATATTATCTGTTATATGCCAGCATTAAATTTAACACGCCAGTTGCACCGCATCATTGTCGCTGCAGCATGCTAAAGAGAAACTTAATTACCATCTTTCGTACAGGTCACGCCGTGGGAAGCGCTCGTTGCCGAGTTGAAATTTGCCGTGAACATTTTTGCGGTAACGAAACCTGTTAAAATTGTCAAAAGCAGAGACAGCAGCGCAAGCTCCATGGAAGGTGGGCTTGGCAGAGCTGCGTCTACGGCACGATCTATCGTCGGCTCGTTCCTGCGTCTTGACATGCTCGACAAATTCGATAAAGACCACAACACGAGCAACCGCAACAACGATCGCAAAATTAATTGACAATCGCCAGAGGAATAATTAAAGCAAACCACGAATTTTTGAAATATATAATACAAAAACCCTATACCGAAATTGTATATCTATTCAATAATAAATACACATATAGATTAAATTACGCGGTTATTTACTGATGCGGGGCAACTAAGAGGAAGTTTTTGGTTTGATCACTACCCACGAATTACCACAGACAAATAACATAAATCTCTTCCATTGCAAATAACATTTGCAAAAAGACTATTATTCTCCAGGCTCCATAGCATAAAAAAAAAAGTTTGTCAGAAGTGGGATTCGAACCCACGCCCACAGAAGTGGACTGCGACCTGAACGCAGCGCCTTAGACCGCTCGGCCATCCTGACGTGAGAAGCGATCTCGTAAAAATCGCAGAAGTATACTCTTGAAATTCTAATTATAGAATTTTTTTTTTAAATTCCAACAAATTATTGTAGCACGTTGTTATATAAAAATAACGTTGAAAAGCGAATAGACGACGCGTGAAATATTCGTTAATAATATTAAAAATTTTCACAAACTCGGATCGGCGACTATAAATAAAATAATATTGCTAATAATTCAATCACACTTATAATAAGCTAATAATAATATACTGCAACATTGAATATTATTGCATATACATGAAGAAACTTGATTGTGTTGTTAAAAGACGGATTTTTGAGAAATATACTTAAAAAAGAATGATGAACCATGTTAACTCAAAATAGCTGCGTGATTAATACTAACTCTAGCTTATAATGTATAATAATATTTTAAAACATTAATAGCGCTGTTTTGCTAAAAATTCTTTACAATTCGGTTTTAACATTTTTTTTTTATTAAGCGGTATCCATAATTAATGTAGAGAATCTAAGCCGATTTTTAGTACTTTTTAAAGTTAAAAAAAAAACCTAAATTTGAGAAAGTTATAGCTTGCTAAAGTTTCTTTGATGACGGCAACTTTAAAAGGTATGACGTCATTGTATAAAATATCACGTCACAGCACACTTTCGTGTACTATATTTCCTTCAATTTTGAAGATATTGCAAAAATTTAAAAAGTTTACAAATGATCTATCAGACCGCTTAATAAAAAAATTCATGTTAAAACCGAATTCGCGTGATATCGACGAACAGGAATGGCGTTTAGGATGGAAATTACTTCACCGACTGCAGATACACGACCCACAACCGCGTCGGTCAAAAGAAAATTTTACTGATGAAGGTGCGCCTGCCTGGGAGAATCAACAAGGAAAACTTATCCCGCGATATATCAACTTTCACTTCCGCGTGTGAAGGCTGCAGACATACCCCACGTGCGTTCCGCATCGTTAGCGCGTAACACTTCTACCAACATGTGACCGATTTGCTAAACATTTTCCTCCATTCGCACCGACTTAGAATAATTATATGCACCACTATATAGATATATTATGACGTTTTTTTAATTTTTTTAAAATAAAATTGCTTGTGTCAGACCTAGGCTCTTGCCTGGAATGTAACGACCATAAAAATTACACGACGACGTAGAAATTGATTTTTACGCGGACGTATATGGCGAATAAATAAGATTTTTTTAAGCCTTCAAACACAACGGTCAGCAAAATCTAAATTTGCCGTCAGGCAAATAATTTATTTTCCGATACTTAGGCGGTTTAATTAAGCATGACACGTGACCATCGTGTTTAAGGGGAGTTGTCGACCTTGTAATAAATCTAAACATGCATATGTTTATCTAAATATAGCATTGTTCCCCCGAACGCTACTTATCTTGGAAATGTCGTAGATTCCGCTTGATATATACTATCCGTTGTATTTTTATTCGCAGTTATCCGAAATTATGACCGTCATATATTTCGCAAGCCTTTACGTTATTACTCTGTTCGAGGAACACATTAAATACATGTGATACTGGAGAAGCTCTCTTTTCTATGAAAACACGGTCCCTTCTTTCTTTAGAAATTCTTTAGAGAAAATCAAATAACAACAATATTATTTCTCATCGTATACACATCTTAATTATAAAAATTTCAAGTTTCTTTCATTATACCTACATTATCTGTATAATCCATGTGAATCGATCAGAAAGTTAAAATTAAAATAAGTCCCGAATCCCGAATCGCCATGCGATCTTAATGGTAATCACTGGTTGTAAAATGCCGAGGGCATCGCATCGGTGTGACTTGAAAGAGAGAGATTTAACGCCGGCACACGTAATACGAATACTTTCGCGATGCATCGAAAACAAGAGCAAAGATTCGAAACCGATCTCCCGCTTCCTGGCCAAGGACTGGTTCGGATTCGCGTATATGCATGTAGCCGCGATCGCGTAGAAAGCTCCGGTTGCATAAGCCACAACCGGATCTCACCAGACGTTGTTTCCGAGAAAGGGAAGGAGGATGAGAGCAATGGCGGTGCGGATGATAAAGAAAGACGGATTGGGAAATTCGGAGAAACTTTTTGAAAACTATCGATGCACCGAGAACGCGGGGAGACGCAGCCGCAGCCGGTGAGAGTCGCCTGAAAGTTGTTTGTAACAATTTTACGTACATTGACCTTATGTAAACATTAAATAAAAGTGAAAACGCCGCCATAAGACCGTTCGATTACTCAATTTTCGCCGAAGATCCGGGATTCGCTTGGTACTCACATGTTATTATTACTCCATTACTTATTATTTCCTCCTCGTTTGGATATTCCCGTAAAATTTAACGAAAAAGAGAACGAGCTCATTACGAGTTTGTAAAATATGAGAAACGTTATGCAAGTAAACGTATGCAGCAGGGAGAGAGATCAAGATGTTAAAAATATTTTTAACCATCTGCATATATTGTATAACATATATGCAGGTCGGGATAATATTTTCTATAAAAACTGTGTTTTTAGTCGTGCACTTTTCTCTCTCGGCGCATTGCCATCAAACGTTGGCCAGGTCATTGCATTTTCCGAGAATCGACTTGCTTGCTCTCGTATGAGAGGATTCACGAAGGTTAGATAGATTTTATAAATTTGAAAAAACGACCGGAAGAACATCCGTTTATGCGAAAATCGATCTGTAAATGTCGGCGTGCATTTTTACGGTCGCTGCATCCGAGGTAAGAACCTAGTTTCTCAATAATTGTCTCACTACAATATGAGAAAATAAAAAATATAAGAACACGCTCACACACACACATGGATAGCCGAGAGCACGGAGTTTAGCGGTTTATATTGCCTCCCTGTGTAATTTCTAATACATCTCTATATATCCCTTTTTGGAGGCACAATAAAAATTCTGAACAATAAGCAAAATAGACGATTAAATTTTTAAAAATCTTGAACTTTTGTATTAAGCAAAGGAAAAAGCTCGAATGTCGTCACAGTGTCATTCATTATACAAGAGGCATTTCGTCGTCGTCGTCGTTGCTCTTGTCATTGTGTCGTCGTCGTCGTTGTGTCGTCAGTGAGAAAAAGCTTACACTTGCTTTCGGATACAAGACTCATATATTTCTCCTGTTTACAGCCGAGTAAGCTAGATGCCTCTCAGGAGGAAAATTTCCTCTCCGCCTCGGGCCCCTCCTTTCTCACCATTTTCCAGGCCATGCTATCTCGAAGAATGCTTGCCTCGTCGATTTCCGCCCTTATTCGCTGCCAATCTCAACCGAGATCAATCATCCTATATCCCCCTGCTTACTTTATTATTTTAGGGCCGACAGGAACCGACCCTTCTTGTGGGTCGCGAGAATACGCGCGTGGATATCATTGATAAGAATGTTGAACCTTTCGAACCGCGTCAAATTGGAAAGAGATTTTCTTAGTTCCCGTGTTCGCGCTCGTGTAATTTGTGTATATTACGCTTCACTTATCAAGCGAATCGTTTGTTTTACTAAATTAAATATTTAATACCAAGAGATTTCGGTTTTGATGCATGGTACGTCTAATAACGGAAAGCGTTGTTATCACAGAGACTGTTATCACACCTATTCGCCGAAAATAAAGTTATGATAGAATGCCTCAAATAGTACAGGACGTAAACGAACAATTAGTACCGAGTAATAACAATCATTAATTACAATCATTAATTATTAAATTACTACAATTGAACCATCGTTCAAATGTTCCCTGCATGTAATAGGTTAACAAGGGACGGGTATTGTTACGTAAATGGCTTCTAAGCCACTATGCCTCAGGAATGAAATCCATATGATCCTTTAACTAATTAGCCATTCCTCTGATTTACATGCATGGCGAGAATAGTCTGATAACATTCTCCGAGATAGACGTCTGAACTATAGTTCTCTCAACTAGAATGTATTAATTAATTAAAACTTTAATATTATCAATTAAAACTTTACAGTTGCTTTTGTTTGTAGTGAAAGATAAACGGAGAATAATTATATCTTTATTAATCTACGCTTTCAGTTAATTTAATATGAAAAAATTGGTATCCTATAATATAACAACGAATTGTTGTTAAATTGCATTTTTACAAAAAAAAAAAAAGAAAACCCTTGAGACTCTAAGAGATAATAACGTACATATTCTTCGTATATAATTTTCTTAGTACACAGTTATGATACACAGCATTAATACACAGTTATTTCGAAATATTTTATTTCGCGATAGTGTGAGCGCCATAAATATATGAGTAATATTTCCGAACGTAGTTGATTTCGTAATGTTTATGTAATGTTTAGTTTCAGATTTTATGCTGTACAAGAAAATACATGCTACTATGCATACGTAATCTATTTTACAAATAATGTTGCAGTGTGTAAAAGTAAAATAAACTGACTTTTAATACACGTTTTATAGATTATTAGTAATAAAATTTATGTTATCAATAACTTTATCTAAACTTTATTAGAGAAATACTATAAGATTTGTCTTAAAAGATAAAATATGTATGCAATTATTCTTATTAATTACTCTACAGCCATATATATTTTTAAATTAATCATTTGTGTACATTTTTGTGCATTTTAAAATATCCACTTAAAATTTTTTTTAGCCGTGCATTTTAAAATAATTATTTAAAATATGCATTTTTTAAATATTTTGTTTTTGCAGTATAAGTCAAATCCTCGCTTACCGTTTTTTAAAAAGTTAATCTTTATTTTATGCATTTTTGATACAAAACAAATAGCGTCCCTTAATTTTTCATCCTCATATATCTATATAGTGTCTGCAGAAATAATTGTTATATGTCATACGCGTGCTGCACAGAACGACTAAAATTTTTGCGAGAAAAATTTGATAGTAGTATTCATATAAGCACTCTCTGCGGTGGCATGTGTAATGTTTCATAGTAGTTTGTCACATTGTTGCAATGTATGTCTCTCTCCTTTGTCCTTTATTTTTGAAACTCCCAAAAAACCCGTTCTTGACATTACTCAAAAATTCATGACTGGTATAAACCCAAAATGTGTTAGAGACTTCGAAAAGGACTTAAATTAAAGCTTGAACATTATACTTTAAAATAAAAATATTGAATCTTTTACCGCAGGCGTCATCAAACCTTTAGCACGTTTTGTTTTAGAGATAACCGTACGTGCATGGGACGCCATAAAAGTGTCAACTGAGGATTTAATAAAAAAGAAAATGATGTTACCTATTTGTGTAATCAGAAGTAGAGCATGTCCGACAATATGGGTGCACTTTTCCGTGAAATTACAATGATATTACAACTGTAAAATGTTGCTTTCGTTAAAAATTTCATTAGAAATTCAAAGATCAATTTGTATCAAAGTGTTTTTATAATAAAATATAAGGTAACAAATATTAATAGCGGGACAATAGTTGATACTCAAATATTTTGTTATTATGTGTTATAATAATATTAACATGATTATTAATAATAATTAATAATAAATATATTAATTACGGGACAATAGTAATATTCAAACATTTTGTTAACAACTTAATAACATTAACACGATTCGATCCGACACGTCTTCCGCCGAACAGTGGAAAAACCGGCTAAGCCACGACATTTCTTCGCGACCTGGAGAAGGAAATGCGTTTACGGCGGTAAAGTGCATCGTCGTAAGAGAAAGGAGAACCCACTACCCGCGGGTGAACGTTGCCGCAAACTTTACTCGCTTCATTCAGTGCGTGATCCTTAGTCTGTCATATGTGCGGGCACCTTCCTCATTGCTCTGGAGGAATCTCCTGTAATTTTTCTCCGTGTGTTCGCTAAAAAAAGTGAAAAAAAAAAACTGTGCGCGGATCGCGAAGTGCTGAAATCGGGTCAGACTCTTCTCGTACGATTCGCGTTAATTTTTTTTTTCTAAAAACTTAATCAGTGAAACTTGAAAAAAAGTCAAGATTGACAAATGTATTTTAACATCGGAATTTATCGAAAGTGAAAAAGTTTTATACAGAGTATAATTATTGCTTTATATACATTAAAATATTATAACATTTTTAATAATGGTATCTTTTTATAAAAAGTTTATTATTATTATTACTATTAATTAAACAATTGATGAGTATTCCAAGCAACTGAAGTAACGACCGTCCCTACTAATCATTATACTGATTGATTACGACATAATCAATGTGGCGCCGAGATTAGTGGATGTAAATCATTGCCAGTCGGTAGCGAATTCGCACGTGCTTGTTCGCCAAAATCGGTGCTTTATGCACGATTAAGCGTAATTCCCCGAATTCTGAACACCGAATCGGCATTTCCCGCATTCACGTATCTCTTCAGGCATGCTCGAGAATCCAGCCAAGTAAACACAACTCATTACAACGGCATTACAACGACTTCCTAAGAGGAATTTCATCGGAAGCTAAGATGACGGGATCTGGAGATCTTAATGACGGAAATCGGTGAACTCGATCTCCCTCGTTAAACAAAAAAAAAAAGAATCTAGTCCATCATTTCCCAAAGCGCGAGTAAATTTCTGCGAAGTGGATCTTTAAAAATAAATAGAGGCAGCATGGCACGTCTGTTGAATTACCTTCTCGTAATCGTATGCGTCGCATACGAAGTGATCGCGGAAAAAGAATCAAACATCCTCAAGCTGAGCAAACCGCAGAAAGTCGCCTCGAATGAGACTAAAGCGACAAACGACTTTAACGTAACAGAATACACAACCGAGAGGAATGAATCCGGAAAGCAGTCGTCTTTAATTGCCTTCAGCAAGAATAATCCGGAGTTGGACTGGAAGAATTACTTGAAGATGTTCGACGGAAACGAAGAGGAGCACGAGGATCTCGACGTCGATTTTATGAAGGAGAAACTTGAAAGAACGGCTAATAGTATACAGTGGCTCGCCGATCTTTACGATCCTCTCAGGTGGGCCAGAGTGCCCGGAAAACTTCAGGACGAATGTCGACGGGACATGGAAAAATTTCTCAGTGCACTGAGGAATGGAAAACTCTGGGCGGCGAAAAGTAAGTAACTGGTTAATTAAAATGTAGTCAAAACCTCTTTAAGACTCCTCGAGAATGGAATGTTTTTACATTTATTTCTATATATATAATTAGAGAATATAACAACATATATATATTTTATAAATCTTAACAGTTATCTATTTAAAAAATAATTTAAGTTATTTTTTCTATTTTTATTTCGGATAAAAATTTTGATAAAAACGATGACTTGTTACTTTAAAAGTGACTGGAGAAAAGAGAAAGAGAGAGAGAGAGAGAGAGAGAGAGAGAGAGAGAGAGAATAGAAAGCATGATTACGAAATATAAATAATATAATTGAGCTAAATGAAAGAAAAAGAATCTATTGGGTGACAAAATTTGACTTTTGTTAACAAAAGTCAACTGCTATACATACATAAAGAGAACATATTCTTAGATTTAGGATTAGAAGAATAGGACTAGTTTAGATGCGCAATTGTTATGATTATCGACAAATCACCAAAGGTTTCATCATTTTATGAAACTCTTACAATATCGTCATGATCGAAGAGCTTTGACCTAGTTTGCAGTTTTGATTTAATAAACTTTCTGACACCCTCGTAACAACCCTCGAGTCTTTGCTTCTACATGCTTCCTGCGAATACTGCATTACGGAAATGAAATTTGACCGCTACTATTTTGAAGATGACACTCCGGCAACAGATTCAGAAGAGAATCAACAGTGAAGTCGTGCAAACAAATCGCGCTGAAGTATTAACATAAATTCAGAACGGAACTACTTGAGTTTGAAATGTAATGAGAACGAGAGAGAAAGGGAGAGAAAAAGTGCAATTGTTTCCACGAGACAAAATTTGTCCTAAAGAATTTTTCGTACTAATCGAAAATGTTATTTTTTTTTCTCTACCAGTACACATCACGCATTGTCTACTCTTTTTAACTTTCGTACTACATTACATATTTACTAGAATCACAAACTTAAATTGACTATAAACAAAACAACGACTTATTTTAAATTGACTATAACTGGCATATTTAAGTCAATTTAAGTTTGTGATTCTATTTTATATTCACTGGCGGAAAAAACTTTTCTATTATTACATATTTACATTACATATAAATTTATTTACAGGATTAAATATTTTGTTTACATAATAATAGAGCTATAAACAAGTTTCTTCACGCTTCTGATAAATTGAGATAAATATATATAAAATAACTATATATATAAAATAACTATATATATAAGAAAACTATATATAAAAATACACTGCGTGAAAATGTTTATTACGTACTAGTTAGAGTCTCCAATATTCCGATAATCTCGACCGAGTAAGCGCTCTCGACATATTCATGCAAATTTTTCCTCGGTTATAAAAACCCGCAGTTCGATATCTGTATTGTAAAATATTATTACGCGTTTCTATACGTATAACAGCACACTACATAATTAAATTAAAGTAAAAGAATGAAAAGTACGATTATTTTACATAAGCGACATAATCATAATCAATCACAATTAACTAATAACGTCGCCGCGGTCTATAATACGGTATCATTATCGGGGGCCGTCCGTCCGCGATTTAGAAAGTGAGAAAGGCTTGGGAAGCTGAAACAGCCGGTCCCGATGAAAGCATGCAGCTACAGCGCGATGCAGCGCGGGCTGCAAAGTCACATTCGCGCCGCGCGGAATTACAATGATTTCCGGTCTACGAGTTACGTCCGCATTATCGATATCCGCGGCAATAACGTCGACGGATGCGTCGATGGCCAATTGGCCGCGCCGTCCTATTTCGCGAAACTTGCGAAACAGCAATCACCGCAGAGCCGCGCGACACCCAACGGCGGGAGCATCTTCTCGCCGCCGCGCCGCGATCCGGGCGTACATGATAGCGGCTCTTAAACGAGCCGAGGCGCGCGTCCGTAATTACACTTAGAAAGCGACGCTAATTGTCGGAAGCTGTTTTTTTATCCTTGACTCTATTAGTGACTCGCTTATACCCTCGGTAGGATAACGATGTCATTTATGTATATGTACATAGAGAAATTTTTGAAACGTAATTTAGTTTTTAGAACGATCGAATGCAACTTTGAAGCCGCGCACGCCATCCGCGTGTCTGTCGAGCGCGAAAAGGACTTAGAATATATATTATACATTTAAATCGGGAGGGGAAAAAAGTCAGAGTCAGGCAGTTTTACGCGCCGACGGAAATAACTGCGTTAAGCAACGCGATCGCGAAATATACGACGAGACTAAACGAAACTTGGGCAATTATCAAGTTACCGCGCGGCGAGGCAATAAAAAGTTGCATCGGCAATTTCGTGTCTCATTGTTGCGGAGATTATTTCCAAATGCTATGCGGAAAAAGGACTCTTGCATTAGGCAATCTCTTTCGGTGTTTTGATCTCGCGGCTGTCATAACGCGCCACAACGAGTCATTATTCTTAAAGCCAGATTACCCATCAATCAGCCGGACTCGTATTACACCATTGTCGAGAATTCCATCGCCGAAATGCGGCAATAACTTTACGGCCCCAAAAACAATTCTGCAGTGATTTTATGGGCTCCTTCTGTCTACGCAATATATCATGAATATAGAAATTGAAATTACGACGTTCGACAATTTAACTTAACTTAAACTTTCGCTGCAGAGAAGTCACGTCGTCTTAGAACGCGTGAACGAGCCGGAGAAATTATTATCGTCTGCGCGCGGTTGAAAGTATGCGGTATGTTTTATTTCTAACGTTCCGTTTATATATGTTACGGCCTCTTAAAATTTCCACGGAGTTCATTTGCGTAATACCGATACTTCCAGATTATCGCACAAAATTGATCACTTTCGCGATAACGGAGCGGCGCGTTATATGTTCTTACCGGTGCACGGTGGCGATCGGTTTGACGCGCGAACATATGTGCATTGCACATGCAGCCCGACTGTACTTTCTACTCTCGTGGTCAACACGAGTCGCTTTACGTAACTGACAATGAACCTTCCACCGACAGCCATGTAATCAAGCCCCTCGGGGAACTTGAGACAAACGAAATTTTATTGCGCTGCCGGCGCAGACGGTGACAGAGACGTTCGAAGAGAAAGACGGCGGGGAGGAGAAAAAAGTTATGAAGCAACCGAGGTGCAGCATCCGGGTAGCTACCGGAGAGATCTCGAGAATAATTTTTTTTCCCCGAAAAAGAAAAAGTCGCGCGTACCACCCGTGCGATATTTCTGTGCGAATTTGTCGCACGTCGTCATGCATTTCTACGATGTCAGAAGTGCTCCTCTTTCTCGTCTCTCTCTCTCTCTCTCCCCCTCCTTCGTAAAAGACACGCGATAAAAGTCACACGAAAGCGGCATGGTTATCACGCTCGTTCCGCCCCGATGACCGACAAATTATATTTTTCATCGTTTCGTCCGGCTTTTCTTTTCAGTGTCGGACGCAAGTGGCCGTTACTCCTCGCAATTTCACTTTGGTAATGGCTTCTGGCTGGGCTCGATCACCCTCTGCAGGGAGCTCAATATCACCGACAGAAAAACTATAATGAGCGTCGAGGAGCAACCACCTTTTTCCCTAAGATTTCATGTCGCAAGATTTTACCTAAATCTCCCGACGGAGGTCGACTTTTCGGTAAGTCATTGACTTACAGCATTGCCATGTTATAACTTAGATTTTGCACAAAAATTAAGTAATTAGTTATTAACTAATAATGAATTTTATTTATTCAATATTTTATTTATATATAATTGGCTAAAATAAATTTGAAAAGTATATCTTTTTATGTACATTTTTCAATGTATAATAATAAATATGCATATTTTTTTTTATACTTGATACAATCAATTACATGAATAAAATAATGCTGCATTAGCAGCATTTTAACTGAAAATAATCTTTTTAATTCAATAGCAGTATTAATGAAATAAATACTTGTTTTATTAAAACAAAGGCACGACGTAATGAATTAACAAGATTATTTCCAATTAGACTAATGATATTAATACAACATTATTTTTCTCATGCATGCACAATTAAAGATACCTACATTAATTTACAAATATTTTTGTAAATTTGATTTTTAGTTATTTTTATTAAGTAATATTTTAATATCTAATAGTAAGAGTAATATAATCTTTTAATTATTTTTATTAAATATACCTATAGCTTGTTATGATCTTATCTATTACTACGTTTACGCGAGCGTTACTTTTGTAGTAAACTTACGATAATTTTTCCGAATAAACGGGATTTTTTTTCACGTAAACGGAATTTTGTAGTAACTTACAATAATTTACTCCGCGTAAACGAGTGAACTATTGTAAGTTACTACAGAAGTAACGCTCGCGTAAACGTAGTAACTGTCGCAGATTATTACATTATTCATAATGGAATGCAACGAAGCGGGTAGTATTACAATATGCAACACATTTTGTGGATTAGTGTATCTCCTATTCGACACGGTTTCATCATTTCGGACTTGTATTCCACGATTGTGCATAAACTACGCTGCACAGGTATTAATTAAGCACGCATCGATACCTCGCTCAAGCTGACGAAATCGTTATGAAACATTGTCTGTCTCTATGGTATATCCCTCGAATTATTTATCCATTAATATCTGTATGTTGTTAAATAACTATTGTTTATCATAAATAATCCACGTTTAATTACGATAACAGAGATGCAAGATATCACGATATTAACATTTTTAAATTATTGTTCTCGTATTATCTCTTTTATATATATGTTAAAATATTAAATTACTTTGATATAATTGGTATGTAAGTAATAAACTCTGAGATAATTTATAATTTATAATTTATAAATTATAATTTATATCATAAAAAATTTTATTTTGAAATATCTGTCTGTCACGAAATGTTTGTTAAATCATTTCATTTATTATTTTCTTTCAAATGATATAAAATCAAATTGTCGATGAACAAGGATAAGCTATGAAGGATTAAATTAACACATTCAAGATTAAGTATAAATAATATTCAGTAGCGTGATTTTTCAATGAAATTAACAGAGATATGTAACTGTAGAATACTTTCACTATCCTTCTTTAATTATGCTTTAATACACGTATCGAAACGATCTATAACGGTCTTGTTTTTCTAATGCTCCAATTTATATGTATATGTGCTGCATATTGAAAAATCTGTACAATATTGATCTTTCTTTTGCACACGGTTATGTAATATTTGATCGCGGAAAAATACAGGAAGACTAAATGCTGACTTTAACTTTTAATTACGAAGTATTTGGAAAGAAAAGATAATAAAAAGAACGTACTTAAATATTGAGAGAGAGACAATGTTTTACCTTATATTTTATAAATAAGTACTCATTTAATTTTATTACACACTACCTGGTTACCCGGGCTTCGCCCAGGAATCGTTTTTCTTGAAACGACTTCGTTTGTGTTTCAATATCCTTATTGTGGACAAACATAAGGAGTGTGTCGGGTGGTTGATTTAAAGACGGTAGTTTAACTTTTCTGCATGAATAACACATTCTAGGTGCTTAAGTTTTAAACTTTTTTACTTGACAATGATCACATATTGCATCCATTTTCTCAATTATTACACTCGGATGAAATTGATATTCGTAATTTGAATCATAACTGCCTCTAATTTGAAATCGGACCGCATAAATGTTTTCGTAGATTAAACATGTCGTAACCGGTCTTTTTCTACTCGAGTTTCACACTATTGAGTCATTTCCGCTTTTCCGATATTTCACTTACCGACATCATCCCTTGGTTTACCCAGGCGTTTTTTCGGGAATTTTGAGATTTGTCGCTTGCGATGTACACAGAACCTCGATTTTTCAATTAAAAAACCAAGGAATAAAATCGGTAATCGGTAAGTGAAATATCGAAGTAATATCTCTTTAAGAAAATATCTCTTTAAGATTCGGTCAATTATTTCCCGAAAAATTGGAAAAATTTCGAATACCGGTTCCAATAAAGATCGGTAACGAAAAATTATACACTTCACATCACTCCCCGAAAAATTCTACCCCTGTTTCATATATAACTCTTTAAGATTCCGTCAATTATTTCCCGAAAAATTGAAGAAATTAGAAAAACCGGTTTCCAGAAGATTGATAACGAAAAACTATACACCCCCTATAGCACTCCCTGAGAAATTTTACCCCTGTCTTATATACAATTCTTTAAGATTCAGTCAATTATTTCCCGAAAAATTGGAAAAATTTCGGATACCGGTTCCAAAAAAGATCGGTAACAAAAAATTATACACTTCATATCACTCCCCGGAAAATTCTACCCCTGTCTCACATATAATTCTTTGAGATTCCGTCAATTATTTCCCGAAAAATTGAAGAAATTAGAAAATCCAGTTTCCAGAAGATCGGTAACGAAAAAGTATACACCCTATAGCACTCCCCGGGAAATTTTACCCCTACTTCATATACAATACTTTCAAAATCGCTCCAATAATTTCTAAGATTACCCCGAACAACACTACAAACTTTTCCCCTTTATATAATAATAATAATAATAATAATAATAATAATAGTAGAGATAAATTTCAACATATAAACTGTTTTCCAATCTTCGTAATCTACGAAAAATAAAAACCAAGATAAACACCATAAAGTTTATTAAAAATACAATTATGAGAGACACACAACATATGCTGGAAATAGAAACAACTCAAAATAGCAAAATAGGGGACATGAGATTGGTAAAGATATTCTCTTTTAACGATTAAGAAACCCCATGGGGTTTCACGAATATAGGGTGGAGTAATGCGGTCAACATCCCACATGGCCGATTTACTCTCGGAAAAAGATCTTGTTACTCATTAAACAGAAGACTGAGGGAGCGTCAGAGGTATTCTAGAGGTAGACCAGTTGGGAAAAATTGGCGGTATAATGAACATTAATTCCCAAAGGGCGGAATTAGGAATATCACAAGGAAGAAACAAACGATAAAGAATTACAATAATGGTTAGCAACAAATATCTCTAATTTAGGAATAAAATTAGACACAATATCACATGTTCTCATGACAGAAATTCGTTCTTAGTACATATCTTTTTTGCTGTATTAATAACGGAAAACACCGCTTGCGAAATTTCGAAACCCTCGGTTACAACTATGAACTGCCACGCTACTTTTTATAACACAGTTCTGACTGAAATAAAACAAAAAATCGTCTAAAACAGCGTTGTTCAACAGCTTGCACTGCTCAGTGACAGAATATGTAACTGCAATTTCAACATCGTACAGAATTAGAAACAAGAGCGATAGGCACAGTTCCCCTATTAATATATAAGTCTTCATGGTGTTCTTTGCAAAAATTTTCTTTTCAAACTTCTATCTAAATATAGTGTTTGACAAAAAGTGTGTAAACAACAATAATATATTTATTAGATTTGAGAAACTCCTTTCTTAATCATTCCATCATTATTACTTTTTATCACGCTTACTCTACTTTTATGAGTTACTTCTTATTATCTTTCTATTTATCCTTCCGAATTTTATCCTAGGTGATTAATATTTAATATATCTCACAATTAATACTTTAATAAAACATGCTAATAAATGTGCAAATAAACGAAGCGCATTACAAACTTTATTTTATAAGCTCTGCGTGCACATAAGCGCATTAAATCGACAAAAGGATTCCATATAATCGCATATATTTCAGGATTATAAGTACTATAGCATTAATCTCTTCTAGTTCATCCACTTTAAAGCAAGATCTGCGAGGTATTGTCTTTATCTGTGATACTTTCGTACTTTCAACTTGAATTTTTAGTTATTCATATCTTTTATATATAGTAATATAATTTTCACAGATCCATTACATCATATTGAAATAAAAGATAATTTGGGACTCACCAATACGAAGCGCAGCAGCGGAATTGTCGTAACTACGTTGACCTGGAACCTGGCAAATATAGCCAAATTATATAATAACGTTCAAAATAACAAACTTTAAAAAGTAATTGTTGCACGTATTGAATTTTTTATCTTATCTTATTTATTTTGTCGAATAATAATAAAATACAATTAATTATATAATTTCTAAAAGACAAATAGCTTATAAAGAATTAATTATCTCACCTAAGTTGTTCGCCTAAGCCCGATACTTTTTCCTCTTCTCAGATTTGTACGTTACACTCACACAATGATCATTCACAAAACCGATTAATTTTATTATTAGATTGTTAGGCTTGTTTTATGCAAAGCAAAGAGTAGTGTGGTGAATGGAACAACAATACGAGCTAAATAAAAAGATGTTATCTTAATAAATTAGTTTATTCACACGACATAAACATAAAAATTAAGAAAAAATAAGAAGTAAACGTTTCGGCTAGCCTCACTTTGTACTTAGACCCACATTTCCAAATCCTCTTTTTGTTTCTTTCATGTATGATTTGACATGTCACGTAAGATCGACAATAACACTCGCCGTTTTAATATTTAGTATAATTATTACTTAAATTAAATTGTATTCGTACTGAAGAAGACTAATTGTAAGTAAAACTGCAACATTTATTCTTATTTTTTCTCAATTTTTATATTTATGTCGTGTAAATAAACTAATTTATTAAGATAACATCTTTTTATTTAGCTCGTATTGTTGACCC